CGTTTGGACAAAAAAATTATTTATTTTTTACTTCCATAATATATGCTTTTCCCCAATTTTCAAGCACCCAGCTGTAAAAATTTCCATAATTATAGACATATTAAGTAGAGTGTCAAAACGTAATTTGATATGCAATTGTTCTTTTTTTTTTTTACTTACATATTTAAAGCTCTTAATAAAACTAATCTATTAAAATTTAAAATCATAACCTCTTATTGTAAAAAATCATTATCATTGAGTTACAAACTCTTTGGTTACGTCTTTATTAAAAACCTCAAAATATTATGTGAATGGTTTTGGCAATACATGATGTAAAATGTATAATTTTTTTAAAAGCTTTAGTTTGATGGCATGTTATTTGGAAGTTTTTTTTTTTTTTTTGCTCCTATAGTGACAACTTGATAACTAGTGGATTGTTCAACTTTTAAGATGTCGAAGTTTGAAGCAATCCTGCTCAATGTTGACTATTTTTAAGGATTTGCATTATTTAGTAAGCTAATTAATGGGGTATTACTTATTTCGTGAGAAAATAACTTAGTGGATCGAATTAAATTTGTCTTGTAACTTCTCACGTTCCCCGAAGAAATAAATATTTATGCCTAAGTCTACGGAATCTATATATAATTATCAGGAAGAAGAAAGACTTCAAGTAGAGAAATCAAACCACTATTTAAGATGATGTTGGTTTTGAAAACATACTCAAACAGGCTTGCTTAATTATATATGTTCGTAGACTTGGATGGTTAGAATTCTTCTCGTATCATGTGTTCAGATATATATGTAGACTTGGATGGTTAGCTATATCAAAGGACTCGTTTTGCACCATAGGAAAATGGAACAGATTAGGTAGGTGGCTAGAGTTGATTAATATAGCTAGGGTTCGGAATAATTAGGTTAGGTGGGGTTGCACTGCAAATAGAAATGCATGACAATGAGATGGATCAATATGCCTTTGCACCTAAAAAAATGAACGATGTATATGCTTGATATGGTTAAAGGAAGTCAGAATCCAATAAAAAGAAATGAAATGACCACTTCCCACTCGAAAATTTTTAACGTACAAGACAGTCTGGTGAATGCCTGCATTATCGATCAGTCACTAAAACAACAAAATATACATATCCCACTGAGCTAAGAGAACTTGAATGAAAATTCAAATAAGCTGGACATCACTCAGAAAAGAAAAAGGAAAGGCTTGTGGTTGCTTGAGCTGCTTCAATTACAGGGACTTTTACAGATATGTTTGATTGAACCTCACTTCCGTATAACAGCAGCAGCATGGTATCTCCTTTAAAGAACATATGGCATCTTTTGATCTCAAAAGGGAAATGTAGATAAAAGAGGAAAAAACAAATCCATATCATCAATATGCATGAGACAAGCAATATTAATTTAGATTTAGGACATCGGGTTCCATGTTTGATTCCATACTTAATTTGGCAGAGATAGTACAAGAATATTTTGCCGACTAGGATTTTATGACGACAATTTAATTACACTAGTGTCGATTCATTATCGGTTTTTGTGCAAACAGATATTGGTTTTAATCTAATTAATTATTAATTAGTTATATGTGTATTATCAATTTCTACATGATTGCATGTTTTCGATTTCTCATATATTTGATTTATCGTATTTTTTATATTTTTTTCTTTTACCATTATACTTATTTTATTTTGGTTTAGTTCATTTCTCCAATCCAATCAAAATCAATAGATCTATATCAATGAAATTTTATACAATAACAATTAGTCGCTCTGGGCTTTTTTAATCACCAAAAAGGCAAAACCCAATTTTGTTCACTATAGCCTATGGTGACCGCTAGCTAGTAACCATAACCTTATAGCTTTTTATGATCAAAAAATTATTTTTTGTCACCACAGAATACTTATACGGAAGTCCATTGTGACCAGATTAGCCTTCTCATGCCTTCTATCATGATCAATTTAATCTTTGAAAATAAGCTAAAATGATCAAATTAGCGCTCGTAAGATGTTAATTGTTATGAAGTAATATAACATTATTATTAAAATCTTATTTGATAATTTAAATTTTTAATTTAAATTGGTAATTATAAATTCAAATCTCACCATTTTTATTGAATATAATTAAATTAAAAATTAAACACAGAATAATGATGCATTTTAATTTTGCAATTAAGTTTCAAGTTTAAAAAATTTGTATTTAAACTAAAACTATTTGTAATGTTTACTTTATAGTTTAAGTCTGGGTTTTTTAATACTTGCTATGATTACAGTGATCTATGCTCTTTTAATCTATAATAAAATATCATGCCTACGTTGATCTCCACCTTAGAGTTATGGTCACTAGTTTGGTCTCCAATCATTACTCATGGTGACCAAATTGGTCTCCAATGTTGTCTATGGTGTTCAAATTGATCACATCAACCAACTTATGATGACTATCCTTTTCTTTTTCCTTTTCTTTTTTCAATTCATTAGCATTCTCTAGATATGAATTTGGTCTCTATCTATAAACACTTAAAACCTGTACACGATGACCATTTAAACTATATGTCGCAACAAGTGGTCCCCCGAGCCACTAATTGTCATACTGGTCCTTGATGTTTGAATTTGGATGGTCAATGACGGATCTAAGATTGAAGAGTTAGGAGGTTTAGGATGTTTAAGAAATTATTTGGGTTAGGGTAGCAGATATTAATACTTTAAGTGTTGTTTGGTTATAAAAAATGAATGGTCCGAAATGAAAAATGCAGAAATCAAAATAAAAATTAGAAAATTAAAACGATATTTATATTTTCATATTGTGTTTAAAATACTAATAAGAAATCGGAATGAAATTTAAACTTTTTTAATATATAGTTTTTAATACAAATAAAAAAATAATTAAAAAATTAATCAACTATAATAGTAGTAAAAATAATAAAGATAATTATGATAGTAATGGTAAGGGATAGGAGGAGGATGAAGAAGATATGATAGTAATAGCAATACAATAATAATAATAATAATAATATATTTTTAAAAATTGATATTATCACCATAAAATGTGTCGATTGAAAGAAGAGTAATGGTGATAGTATAATAAAAAGAATAATGATAGAATAATAATAATAATTTTTTTTATCACTATCGCCAATGAAGATGGTGGTGGTAGTAAAACTAATTAATACACAATAAATATAAATAATATATCAATATTTTAAAGAAAAAAATTCATTCATTTTCCTTATTTTTATTCTCACCTTTCACATGGAATCAAATTATGTTTAATTTTTATTATCATTTTCACTCTTTATTCTCATTTCATTTTATTCCTTTCAATCAAACGATTACAAAGTTAAAATAAAATTTTCAATCTCATTTTCATCATTTCATTTATTTTAATCAAACGACACTTAAATGTTTTAAATAATATCTTTTTTGAATGAAAATGAATCTATATTCTTTTTCAAAAATAAACTAAATTATTTTGAATAAAAAAAATGCATTTATCACGTTTAAGGGGAAGGGGGAAATCTTTTAGACTCCTAATTTCTAGGGACCAAATCGTTATAAAGGGGGGATTGTCATCCTTGGGGTCATGCAGATGGAGAAATTTTATAATAGTAACTAATGACATGTATAGTAGTTACGTCATAGGCCTACTTTTAAAAGAGAGATAGACACAAAAAAAAAAGGAGAGAAACACGAAAGAGAAAATAAAAAAATTTGAGCGGACGTAGAAATCTTCTTATCACTTTTGGTTGGTATGGATATAATTTTTTTCTTTTTTTATGTCTATCTCTCTCTTCAAAGTAGATTCATAAAATAATTAATATACATGTTATTACTTATTACTAATGTATTATAAAATTTCTCCCTGCATATGCTGAACCGACCCCTGGATGGTTAATTGCTGGTGAACAATGAAACAACGCGCCCCTCAACCATGAAAATAACCATAACATATTAATTAATTTATTGTCATTATTTTTCTTTTATAATGATTTATTGCTAAAATTAAATAGGGATGTAGAGGAGGAGATTTCATTGGTGCACACACGTAAATTAGTCGTCACCATAGCCTTTTCAAATTAAAATGATCGAAGTTGCTGAAATAAATTCAAGCTCTTTGGGGGAAAACCGAAATATGTTTTTTTAAAAAAAAAAAAAAATTATTCCTCATTGGTGAACTTTCGTTCTTCTAATCTTTGTAATTTTTGGCTCAAACCTGAGAATCTCTCCTTACTAAAAAGAAATTTAGCATTTTCTGTCCTGTTTGCTCCGTCCCGGACATCCTTACAAAAAACTTCAGCCACAATTTTTTTCTTTTTTGTGATTTAAATAATGAGATCAACTAAAGCAATCCACACAAATTTATAAACTTTTTAGAAGAAATCTATAAATTGAATTCCTATTTACACAAAAGATTAAAAAAATATATCTTTTTTTTCTGTGATACTATCATACGTTGGTTGATGCACATCCTTGAAAGTTGAAACCAATGATTTTTTTTATCCTTCCTAAAACCATATCTGAGTTGCACAACAAAACAAAGCCAGCCCAAGTTTGGCCCAAAACCCGACTTTTGAGGCCCAATGACAGTTTTGAGGTAGCGATGCGTGCTCTTCCTATTTACACAAATTATTGTTTACAAATAATTTCCCTCCTTTTGTAGCGAATAAGGTTCGAACAAGCTACGCCTGCTCTGGTAATAGAGTTTATCAACGAACATGAAACCGATTGCAAGTGACAACGACCGAATTTGAATGATTTCCGTAATTTATTAGGTGGATAGAAAGAGAATAAGTGATTTGCATTTCAAAAACTAAAATCCAATAGAATATAGCATTTTTATAATTACATGTCCTCACAAATATTTCATAAAAACTCTTATGTCAGATACAGATACCAAAACTCCCAAACTAGGCCATAAAAAATGATGGCCCCTAAAAAGGAGAAAACAGGCAAAAGAAACATAAAAAGCCAAAGTTTAATTCGCCAAGTTGTAAATTCATAGAGCTGCAAAGATTTTGCTCAACCTGTGTTTCTCATCCCAGCAGCAATACCATTTATAGTAATAAGCAGCGCATCTCTAAGCTTATGATTGTCGTCATCCCTCCTCAACCTCTTTAGAACCTCAACCTGTAACATATTCATGGGATTGAGATAAGGGAGCCTGCTCTCGATGAGCCTCCTCAAGCTCTTGTTGTTTTCTGATAGCTTCTCATGCCCACTCACCACCAACACATACTTCTCCGTTGCTAGGAGCTCCCTTCTTAATTCAGCACCAAGCTCTCTCCTTTTCTCATCAGATACAAGGACGTCATCATAGTGCTTCGCTATCGAAGTGTCTGCCTTCCCCAGAACCATCTCGATAAGGTCTATAGTAGATTGGAAAAAAGGCCATTCTTTGTACATTGCTTGCAAGTCTTCAGTATGTCCCTTCGCACAAACACCCTTCAAACCTGCCCCAACTCCAAGCCATGCTGGAAGAACAAATCTTGTTTGGGTCCATGCAAATATCCATGGAATGGCACGAAGATGTCCAATTCCTGTCGAGTTCTTTCTTCTTGTGGGTCGGCTTCCTATGTTAAGGAAACCAAGCTCAGCTTGTGGAGTAGCCTCATGAAAGTAGGCCAGAAATTCTGGGTTTTCATATACTGTGCTCCGGTAACTTTGGCAGCTGATATTTGAAATCTCATCCATGAGATTACGCCATTTTTCTTCTCGAGGTCGCACTGGGGGTTTTAATGTAGCAAGTAGAACTGCAGTTGTGTATATCTCTAACTGTCTAACAGCTGTGTGTGGCAGCCCAAACTTGGCTTGCACCATTTCTCCTTGCTCAGTTGACCTCAGAGTACCCTGCCAATTGAAAGGACATCTCAAGTTTAACGTCAAAAGGCTAAATCCTTAAACAATTGACTTGATGCTTAGAAATTAATGGCACTCTACAAGCTCATATATGAGTCAGAAACAGCAATCAGCAGAACCAAAAAACAAATTACTTTGCATGCTCTAGTCTAAAAGATGGAGCATAGCAATATCAGCATTTACAAATTTCAAAATAAAATATAAATAAAATAAAATAAAGGGGGAAAATAGAATGTCATGTTATGAGAAAGTAACCAAACTAACTGATTACTGGCTTCCCTGATGCACAGATAGGTAACTCACCATTACAGAACCTGGTGGTTGAGATTGAATGGCAAGATATGTTGGTCCACCACCGCGACCAATACTCCCTCCTCGCCCATGGAATAGAGTTACTTTAATTTTATGATCTTTGCATGCTGCCACAACATCCTCTTGTGCTTTGTAAAGTTCCCATGCAGCAGTGAACCGTCCAGCATCTTTACCAGAATCAGAATATCCAACCATCACCTAATTCAAGAGAAGTTTAAGAGCTTTGAAGTTTCATTAAGAATCTACTGAACTTTTAAAATGAATACCTCCTGATGCCCATTATGGTTCTTTACAATGTGCTCCGAGTACCAATCAATTGATAATAATTTCCTGATAACTGCACCAGCCCCTCTAAGATCTTTCACAGTTTCAAACAATGGAACCACCCGCAGCCTATTCCAAGATAAGCATAGATCTTGAGAGAATTTTTGTGAGAATGTTTATTGTAAATACAGTGTAAAATGTAACACCAAGCTAAACTTTTTATCCCAATACCCAAGGTACTGTGCCAAAAAGTGTAACAGAACTCTCCATATTCCATTTTCCATTTCCTATGAACTTAAGTGGATTATGAAATGATGATTGAGTGATCTACCCTCAGATCAAACATAGAACCTAACCAAATAGTCAAACCTCAGGTCCAGGAAACTATTAGTAGGCTGACAGCATCAGCAAAAGAAAGATCACGAGCCTTGAAATGCAGAAAGGAAGTTGTTTAGGAAATACTGGCATATGTGACTAAGAAAATATTTCAAAACACTAAAAAGAACGTGGAAAATTTTCAGTTGTGCCAGCAATGGTGGTAAGGATGGCAATCCAACCTACCCCGAAGCCACCCCGCCCCGTCCCGCCCCGTTTGGGGCGGGGATGGGGCATGGAATTTTGCCCCGAACGGGGCACGGGGAGGGGATGGGTTTTTTTTTAATATATATTAACATGACAACACTTTATTTCAAAAAATTGAAACTGCAGTTAAATGTGGCATAATTTCAAATGTCACAGTAAATAAAAGAATGTGCCTTCTTTTTAACAAGCATGCTTGCGTTTACACATTACCATTCCAAATAAATTAAATGAAATAATATAATATAAAAAATTTCTGATCTTGTTTCCATGATCTAACCATTAGTTCCTATGAACATATGATAGAATAAACAAGGAAACGCATTTCACAGAGCAACATGTGAACATAGAAGAGGTGCAAAACTCACGTTCCTCCAGGACATGGTCTCCCAAGCTCACCACTAACAGCAAGACGGGCATCTTTTTGTAAAAGCTCCACAGCAAGGACGTCACTTGCCTGCCAAATGAAGAAGTGTAAGACAATGTTAATGTTTATTCTACATGAATTACAAGCACATATTCTGCTATTAAATTCAAGGGTAGCAGTAATCTTGTCTCAGACTATATATAAAAGTAAATGACTAAATAGCAGCAATTAGTTGTACATTGGAGGCCATAGAGATCACATATGCTCCAAGTGAATCACTCCCTAGCTCAGCAGCAACACGGAATGTATCCAAGACTTCTTTAACATCAGGAGCAACCTGCCAAAAACCAAATTAAGCGGATGCATCCACATACAAAAACAAAAGATAGACAAAGCGAGCAAGCAAAAAATGCACACATTGCAATGCTCTCAGGAAAAAAAAATATCATATTCTCAACTCAACCAAAGGTAATGAATTCTATGGTAAATTCAAGTACTTAACGGATTCTTTAAACAATCCAACCAAACTGGCAAACTCCAATGCAACAAAGAATTCCGAAAATGTTAGTGCAAAATTACCAAGGATCTAAAAAATTGTTTTACTTTATATTTCTACAAAAAAATGGCAAAGAAAGCCAAAATATAAGAATGCATATTTTCACTAAGAAATGAGTTACAATGACATTTTTCCCATACATCTTTTAAGATCATACATATATCACCAAAGGAATTTAAGATCACCACAATAATCAAATTAGAAATAATGTTTTTCCACACGAGCAAATTTAGGATTTCCCTCCACAGCTTGTTAGGGTCTCACCCTGTCCAGGCATTTGCGTCTAGTGAATGCACATGTGTGTATGCGGTAGATCGATTTTTACATTAACATCTCTTATCACTTGTATGTTCCATTAAACTACGTCTGCAGATTTTATGAACAAAGCTGTGCTAGTCTTAAGCAGGGAACGCATTTGTAAGCCTATTCAGAAATTTCTTTCTAAGAGATTAGCAATTGCTTCTGGATTTATAATATTTTTAATTTTTGACATGCTTTTGGAATAACTTATTTCACTTCGATTATGTTCTATAACATTACATATTAAAGTGATCAGAAAAGGTGATTTCCCCCTCATGAGATAAGACATGAATCGCAAATGCAAAGTCATTATATTTAGTTACTTGTAAACAAATCAAAAGGCAGACAGTAATTACTCAAAAAGACTTGAAGAAGAAATAATACAAACAGCAAGCAATGAATGCCATACAACTCAAACCCTTTATCCTGCTCAACCACGCTATTGATCCCAGAAAAAAATTGCACAATTTGCAAAATATCACTTGGGAAACCCCCACCCGACCTACAAAAATTAAAAACAAAAATATCCCCATGCTACTTTTTTACCTTGAAACTATACTATGCATATGTTAAAAAATGAAAAACATTGTTATTCTATTCTTGTCATCATTTCTTTCCAATAGAGAAGAAATAAATAAGCTTTCCTAGAGACCTATAGGCTAAGCCCAATAGACCTAACATTGCACATTTGCAGTAGATTATGCCCATTAAAATGATTGCTCAGGTTTTCATGCTCAGAATTGATGGTCAACGTAATGCTGTCTAAACACATTACCTGAATGGTGGGAGGAACTAGTGGCCTCTTGTTTTTGAGCTCTCTTGTTAGGAATTCCAGTTTCTTTTCTTCATCCCACTCGCTATATGTTCCCATATCCAAATATTTGGTGATTGCATCTAGTGCTTCAGAATGTCTACCAGATTCCTGTTGCATTCTAAAAGTCCAGTTAAATCATATTACTTGAGCATATTGTTACCTTACAGCCTATAAGCCGAACCAAAGCCCACCTGACGCAAGTCAAGCTTCATTAATACCATTCCAAATGTTGCAACTCTTCTTATCAGGTCAGCCAGCCGGCCATCTGCTAGCACCCCAGCTCCACAAGATTGCTGCAAAAAAACAATTAATGAACAATAGTATAAGGTAAAGCCAGTGATATTTTTATTCTTTTCTGTTATTACTCAAGAGAAATGAGCTAGGGCCTAGGTTGATATCAGAGTGCAGAAGATATTACCAGAGACTCATAGCATAGAAGCAGCGGTTCTAACAACTGGTCTGTTGCCTCATAGTAATCCCACGGCTCATATTCACACGGAAGATCCTCAAGAAGAAGTTCCAGCCGTCTTCTAGCCTTCACAAGCTGAAATCACCAGGCAAAGTACACTGATATTTATCATCTTACAGAAAATACAAAAGATTGAATTATTTTTGAAAAAACAGAAGCCTTAATCTGTTTTTAAAATGGTAAGACACCTTAGCAGCTTAAAGAGAATAACAGCCAAAGTCATTGGAACATAAAAAAATAAATCCATGAATATATTGACCACTATATGACACTTCCATTATCCATAAGCGATTTCTTCAATGAATGGTATCTTGATTTGGAGCTATTTCACACTGACCCCACAATTTGCCCAATGCTAGTAGTTGCATCATACATCCAAAACACAATTATGGATGCCAAATTGTCAAGTCCTTTACTTGGATGATCATAGATTTTCCAGTAATTATTTTTCATAAGTTTGCCTGCCCTGGTCTAGCTACTCATCTATCACTACGTCCTCAAAGTTGTCTCATATTTAAATAATTTGAGAAACTCCATTTGAGAATGATGCTCCATCAAGCATATTTATCATGAATTATTCAGTAAAAATTTTGCTATTAATTTCACAAGGTTAATTCAGAGCAATCATGAAAAGGATATTTGCATAACTAAAAAATATATTCATTAATCTATTTCTTTATTAATTAATACATGAAAATATCTTGAAATCTCATGCCCCAATCAAATTTTATTGGCTTAAAATCAACACAACTGTACCTGCATTTTATATCCCCTCCATACCCTCTTATGTTGTTTATTCTTAACCAAATTTGACTTCAAGCTATTGACTGCTCAGAGGACATGTGGGATGTTGCCTAAAAATTCAAATAGGACTCCATTTCCATTTTTCTTTAGCTGCAATATATGACCGCTGTTAGCAAACAACGGACCACATTCATTCAATGAGACACCGGATTTTCGATATTTGTTTTACAATTTCCTGATATTATGTGCTTTGCTGTTTTACATGTACTACAGTTCAAGCAATTGACAAATTGAAGCCACAGAAAGTAGCAATACCTTATCTTTTACATGACCAAGAACAATTCTATAAGGAGCAATTCCAGGACGTTCAGGCAGGCTTGGCTCCAGAAGCTTCTGAAAACTGGTTCTTCCTATCTTAGATTCTGAGAAAATTTTTCTCTGAGCAAGGAGTTGACTGGAGGTGAAAGATCCACGTGGACTTAGAGCTGATTGGTTGCTGTTAGAATTAGCAATACTTCCATTTGCAATTGATTTGCTAGAACCATGACTAGAATCTTGGGATGAAGATTCTAACTTTGAAGAACCCTGAATATCCTGTAAGAAAACAAAAGGAAACACTATTTTGGTCAAATTGCTATTAAAAACGATAAAGAGAAACATCTATACAAAATTGCTACCAGAGAACTGAGTTTACCTGACGATTCAATGACATGTAATTAGTCCCTGGAAGTTCTAGTTTAGGATACTGTGATCCAGATTTATCGCCGCATTCTACATGAAGAGATAAATTGAAGAAGCTATGAACCTTGTATATTGATAGTTGAAAATTACAATACAGACTTAACTAAGTTGGTTATCACTCCAAAAAAAATGATAATAGCAATAGAATCTCTAGAAAATAAAAAGGGATTTGGCATAAGATGTCACTTTTATGGAAGTTGCAGTAAAAGCATAATTATAAATGGTTAGTGAGACCAAATTTTTTTTTTTTTTTTTTTTTTTACCAGTGCAGGCAGGAAGATCAGCTCTAGCTGGAAGTTGTGTGGGAAGTGGTGGAGCTTGTTGGCCATGAACCTTTGTTTGATTTCTGCTCATAGGTTGATTCCAACTCTCATGTCGATCATCTGGTGAAGTTTCTGCATACAATACTCACCAACTGTCAGGCATTATAAGCAGAACAAAACACCTGCAAACAATCGCTATAAATATCATGTGACATGAACCATACATGATTGACATGGAAGACTCTCTCCCTTGCCATAATTATCATGTGACATGAACCATACATGATTGCCATGGAAGTTACACACACACACACAAACAGTATTTGAGCCTGGATACAAATCCCCCATCCTGACAAAGTCACTACTCTATACCAACTTTCTGTTAAAACTGTCTAGACACATTACCACCAAGTATGACTGGGGACTTCAGAAAATCACAAATTGTCATTGCAAAAGCTAACAATTTAATTAAATCAAAACCAAGTTCTATTGTGAGTTGGAGGAAATCACAGAAAGGCAGAAAATTTTCATGAGTCGATATCATGAGAAAAGGACCATGATGGAATAAAAATTTTCAAAGTTGACAACATAGCATTGGGACCAAATCCAGTCCAATTTTTGACAATAGAAAATCGGAGGAAGAATGAAGAGAAAAAACCAAGCAACTTGACAGTTTGTCTTTCTGCACAAGGAACAACACCAACTTAAAATAACTCAGATGGTGAGCAATTTTTGACAAAATTACCAGCAGTCATAATTGAAATAAAAAAAAAGCATCAACAAATGTTAGTATGGAACTAAGATTAATGCTAATCATCCTTAGTAAATAACAGCTGCTGTGCACCAATTTCCTTAAACATAATTTATATCCAACAGCTTATGTTACTCGTCAAAGTTCAAGAGGTGATTCAGTAGACCATTTTCTCTTGCTTAACATACTAAATCTTAAAACCAAACATTCAATATAAAGCATTCTGAAAGCGTACTGAGTTATCACTACTTCAACTGAACAACGCATCTAACAGCCACTTATCGGGGCAGGCCCTTTTTTGTTATCTAATTAGACAGTTGTCTAATTGTCTGCAAAGGAAATTTTTTCACATAATTTAAGTGAATTGCTTCAGAGCTTTAAAAAAAAAATCTAATGAGCCAAACCTCGTTCTAGAATGTCATGTGCCTCTCTTGACAACTTATCACTGCAGCGAGTCATCGAGAGTTCAAATCTGAGACTATCAACTTCTCGAATGTAAAGGTCGATAGCCATCCACCTGGATAAGAGAGAGACATCCCGTGTTACCTGGAACAATAAAACAATATCCCTCAGGTACTTTTCATACCTAATAGAAATAGAACCGTAGAGCAGAAAAATTAGGAATTCTCCTATTAGCTCCAGCATGTGAGGAACCTGACTTCCTCCCATTATAAAGGTGAAGTGCCACTAAACATTGGTAGAGTGGTAATAGCCACATCCAAAAAGAGACCTTGTCAATTACTTAGCTTTTCCCACGCAAAGATAAAATAGTTGACTACACAAATACACCATCTGAGAATAATCAAGAAGGCATTGAGAATGTCCTCTGGGGCACAGAAAAATATTGCAACCTTCAATTTTAATAGTTTATCTCCGCTGATGCAGAGGTCATTTCAATGTGTGGATTTAGTCATGTGATAAGTTAAATCAAGAAACCGTATAGTTACAACCCCGAAGTGCAGATGCTAATAAAATACAAGGCCGATGATAAGATGCAAAAATAACCACAAGACAGTGTTAATGGCACCAAAATACCATAGGTTTCAAAGCAAAGCCATGATACTGTTAATCTTTTGGCAACTTTTCCATAAGAACCTTGGATCTTAGGCGTTCATCATGACAGCTAATTGTAACTGAAAAGAAGCAGCAAGCAACTTCCTCTATCATTTCTGTTCTGATGAAAATTAGACCTTTCCTAAAAAGATGTTGCCATGCTACAGCATGATTATGGGGCCTATTCTTTGCATGTGCCTGTCAGCTAAATTAACGAACATCGTCTATCATACACAGATCCCATGTTTGGAATATTTTCTCCAATTAATTTAGGTTCTTCCAAATCAAAGACCAGATAACCCTGTTATATGAATTTAAAAAGCTCACCTTTGCTGTAACATTTGGATTTCCATCTCTATCACCCCCCATCCAAGACCCAAACTTTATTGGCGTGCAAGTTAACGGAAGTGACTTTCCTGTATGCTAAGTGGAAAAGAAATCCAGCAGTCAAAACCACATACAAGAACTTAGGAACAAGAAAGACTACCAACTTCTCACATTCGTTTGAAGAAAACAAAATCAAGTGACAACAAACCTTCTTTAAAGCATTGCTGACACGACGTAAAAAGTAAGGTACTGCTTTCCATAGAGACTGCTCCACAATGTGCAAGCCTGAGATATCAAAATGATCCCATCAGACATCAGCAACTAACAGAAACTTCCAAAGAACCCAAAGCCCGTGATTTCAATCAGGAACCAATGGAGGAAAGAAGGAAGAGGGGATTCGAGATTCAAAAGTAAATTGGCTTACCAGCCCTGGCTTCATCTACTGGCGTAGGTTTGTGGCGTCTAAGCTCATCTGTCTGCCATATTGAAGTAATCTCTCTTACCTACAAAAGCAAGAATAATATGGACCTCAAAAAAGAAGAAGAAGAAGAAAGAGAAATAATTTTACACTTGATGATTATGCCCACACTCTATTGTTGTGTGTGGATCTTAAGCAGAATTGTTGAGGTTTGGAACCATACCAAGTCTTCAATAAGCATTTCTCTATCTTCCTTCGTAAGATCAGGTCGATCATTGTATTCTAAAAGATGCTGCAAACAGAGCAAGTTCATATCCAAAAGTTATCAGTTAACACTGTCAAAATATCTTAGATTATCATTTTTCAACATAACAATTGGTGTCAAAGCCATTAGCAACTTACAGCAATTCTAACATGCTTATATTGCAAAGTACGGCGATTAATTTGAGTGGGATGTGCAGTAAGAACAATTTCAACCTCCTGCAAGAACAAGATTTGGACAAGAATCAATATAGGAAACTGTAGCAACTACCTAACAATCTCGCACTAAAAATTACAATTACATAATACTGATATGCTCCATTTAACTGCTAACAAAGTTTGTGGAATAAACAAAATCCCTAATTATGGTAATCAGGATTAGTTCTTATAGACCATGCAAGAAAAGCTCCACCAAATGAAGCCTATTAAATTCTTTCGGCTGAGTTGACGTGTCCCTGAATTTTTCAGAAACCCCAGCAACAAGGATTGCAATTTGAAACTTCTTCTGCTTTCTTAATTCCCAATTTCAGTGACCATCCAAACTGTTAGAGAAAACTCCAAAGAAAATACCAGTACAAACAAACCTGCTTGCAAACAGCGTCATAAAGTTCATCAGCTGATGTTGCACCCTGCAACAGCTGATTAAAGACTTCATCGCAAGATTTTGATAGATGCGCCAAATCTCTTGTCTTACGTACCCTGCATAAAAGGAATACATTGTGCAGTATCAATATGCTTAATTTCAAAAATTTTCTGAAACTTGTATCATAAAAGAAATTAATATAATTACCTGTGCTGGGTCTCAGCAATTCCCATCAAATTAAGATAATGGCTAAAGGCACGAGCAAGTGACAAGGCTTCCTCCAATGTCATCTTTGATATCTCTGATGCGAGCTGCTTCTCCAGCAACTCAGCTGTGTCTTCTATCCCCGCCAGTCTCAAATTACAAGCAGTCTACACAACAGAAAAAAAAAAAAAAAAAAAATTCTTTCTATTATAATTTTCTCTCAATAATTTGAATATTAATGAATGAAAATGCAGGAAAAGATACCAATAAATAAATCATTGATTCTTCTCTGCGACAGCTATGAGGCTAAATTAAGAAAAATAGTAAATAAAATAAATCCATATTTCCAAAAAAAAAAAAATTAACCATTTAGCAAATATGTGAAAGAACATAATTTTTTTTTCCTTTGCCGTTCTCACTTCTTAGTATAACATGCAAAATTAAAAAAAAATGAAAATAAAAAAACTCTCAAGACGTAAATAAAAATAAATAAATAATCACCGAAAGTATATTCATCAAGAAGCAAGTGATCACAAAAACAAAATAATAAGACTAAATAAGTTTGCTTCCTCTGTTTTATCAGCAACGAAACAAAACAAAATACTCGATGATAGAATCAATAATGACAACATCCGCACACCACAAAAAAAAAAAAGCGAACACTAAAAAACAAATCTAAGGAAAAAAAACTCAAAAACGATTTTGAAGTTATAATCATCGATCACATACAGTAAGTAAGAAAAAGAAGGAGAAGAAGGAGACCTGAGCAAGAGTACGATTGCGTTCAAGTTTATCGACGAATTCAGCACCAACTTCTCTCTGCAACACATCGTTTAATAAACTTTTAAGCAGTTTACAGTAGTCATCAAAGCCTTGAAAGGAGATTTCCTCGGCTATATCATCTGTTGTGTCCGTCATTTTCAGGAAAGAAAAAAATAAAAATGTATGTGGGTCGAGATGAAAGGAAGAAAGGAAGAGAGAAATAAATTTAAAGAGAGACCGAGGGGAGAGAACAGAGAACGGAGTGCGTGAAGTTGCGGAGGAGGGAGTGGTGGAGAGTTTTTAGAAAGAGAAGAGAGTCCTTGTTTTGTTTTCTTTTGTGTACGAAATTTCTGTTAATTTGGTGGGCCCTATTATTGGTTTTTTTTTTTTTTAACTGCTGGTGAGACCTGAGTTTTTATGATACGTGGCATTCACGGAGGGAGATGTGGCTTTTTTTATATATATTTTTTCGTCTGCCCGTGAAACTTCGATTTTAATTTGGGTAAAGCTTAGATTAAGGATGGCTAGTTCACTCGCCCTACTTTACTGGGTATCCAAGATCACCCAATTCAATTGGATCTCGTCTTTATTTAATTTGACTGAAAGCTAAAGTAGATTGGATGAAAATTCAATTTGATTTTACTTGGGTAGGATATGAAAGCGGATGAAAGGCTGATCTGTTCCATAACCCCAATATTTTTTGTATAAAAAAAAATTGTTAACGTTTATTATTATTATGATCATAATCCATGTAAAACAACCTAATCATACAATCTATACTTTATAATAACAAAAAAATAATAATTTTTAATACATATGAATTACAATGTTGTATTGCAAACTCTGTAAAAATCAATTTAATTTTCCAACTTTACTTTGTAATTGAAGTTTAACTTATAATTATTAACCTATGATGATAATGATAATAATAATAATAAATAACTACTATTAATTAAGAATATATAAAATTAGTGTCTTAGTATTTCTTAGCATCATATAATATTTTTTACAATAATAGTAAATAAACAATTTCTGTTAATTAAGAATATATAAAATTAGTATATTAGTTTTTTTAGTATCATATAATGTTTTTTATAAGTACTATTAGTATATGATATGAGTCAAATCACTTTTTTTCCTAGAGAGAGACTCTGACCTCTCTCTAGAAACCAAAAACCTCTGTTCTTTTTCTTTTTCTTTTTCTTTTTTTTTTATTTTCATCTCTGCACTGGGGCTATCGCTAGCCATTTTTTGTCCAATAACCAGTCCCTCCTTCTTTTTCCCTTTATTTCTTTTACTCTCTCTTTCTTTTATTTTTTTATCTTTATTTTCATAATAATTCTAGATGTGTTTAGATCAAATGGTTTTAGTTGCTTAAATAATTATAAATTTAGATCTATACAGTCTATAATCTATAATTTATTATAATTTGTTGTCTTTTACGTGTAATGTTTTCTGTTATTAGATTGTATGGATTGTAGTTTCATTTGAAGATTTATAGTAGATCGAAACATTAATTTATATTTAATTATCAAATTAATTAATGGAATAAGGTTTTAAAATATTATTGTAAATTTATTTCTTTCATCAATGAGGCATAGTAGTGCAATCTGTTCCTCTATTGACAAAAGATAACATGAGATTTTTAAGTCTAAGATATATATATATATATATATATATTACATCTCGGATAACTTGAAAATAAAAAACTTAAGAATACATTTGAAAGTTCATGAATTTGGGAGGAGGAGATGCTATTGGGAATGTCAAATATTTTTATGTAAGTAAATTTTTTTATTTGATTCGAATCGATTATAATCTTTTTCATCTTTATTTGAATCTTATGAAAATTATAATGATTATTTACTATTTGCATTATTAAAGACATTACATTTATAAAAAAAAAATGTTAAATAATTGACGTATTTTTTTTGAAATACATAATATAAATAATTTTTTAACAAGCACATGATTTAACACTACATGATATTTAAATATAAAGGAGATCTTTAACTATTTATATTCATAATCACTCTGATCAATAGAAATTTACTAATCAGTACATATCACTAGAGATGTTTGATAACATAAATTCATATTTTTAAATTAGATCTAATATTAATATTTTAGATGGGACTTTGAAAAATAAGATTATTAAGAATGTGAGATTATTTGCAATGATATTTCAAGATGTGATCTTGCGAGATGCTAAAAGATATTTTACAAGAGAAAATTTAAAATATATATGTGTTGTGTGAGAAAAAAAAAAAAAAGTTAGATTAAATCAGGTATACATTGGTTATTCTATGGATGGAGAAGACCTTTCACCCGACCCGACTACGTGCAAATCGGGTGTTGGTGATGGGAATGAATAAAAAACTTACTCTGACCTACCCACTGCCATCCCTACCTGAGATTAGTTCCCAAACCATACACCAATTTTCAATCGTGGTTCGAAATGTATTTGTTTCTATTAATTTAATCTTAAATTTGTGAGAAAACTCTCAATTAGATCCTCTTCGAAGTTGGAAATGAAATGAATTTCTTTAAGTTGGATCAATTCTAACGTCTGTAAAGAATTATGACTAAAAGAATTGAAATCATTAACTTAGAAAAAAAAAAAAAAAAAGGAGTACGAAAATCTTGTTCACAAACTGCACCTCTTGAGCTGCAATTTACTCAAGAATTCATCGTTGAAAATTATCTGTCAAAATTAACATTCTTCCTTCCCCTCTCCACTGATGTCTCTTTCTCTCTCAACATCAACACATCTTGTTAAAATTCAAATTCGTTTTCTTCTACTACCAATATAGACGCTACTTATTATATCTGATAAAACATGAAGAATGTTGGCCTGAAAAAAAATATCGTTGAAGCGAATTACTGGTTTTGCTTTTAAAAACCTAGTAGATTTTGGTAGATTACATTTTTTGTTGTTTTAATCTTTTCGGATAGATGATTCGAAAGCTGAAAGTTAAATGAAAAAAATACAGAGATATACAAATCGAGGTGAAATGGCTTTTTGATGATGTAGAATGATTTTAATTACACTGAATTTGAACTATTTAAATTTCATTTAGTCATATTCTTTTGTTCTTAATAAAACTAGATTTATCTTGGATGGAAACTAAATGAAAATAAATATAAATATAAAGTTAGAAAAGCATCTTAAATCTAACTACCCATTTTACTGGAGTTCTATAACGCAAAAACTTCATTTCAAACATAGTATTCGAATTACTAAATCAATTCATTTCAATTTACTTACAAAACGGAATTGAATTCTACTACAAAAATTGGTTCTAAACTGCCTGTTAATGCTTTCCATCTAAAGTAACTATCTCGTGCAATAAAAAAATTAAAGTTAATTTAAACTTTTCATGTCAAAAATTTACATTAATTTTAGGCAGAAGGACTTGACTGAGTACTTTTGATAGGATGGGAATTTATTGGAAAAAAACGTAGATTCCGGACCGGTTGAGAAATGGGTAATAGATTGGGGACGGATATTAGGTGACCCCATTTAATTTTGCTGCTAAGGCGACTCAAAAGACTTCGTCGGGAAATCCAGTAGATTCTAAGAACATCTTCAATGCTCTCTTTATATTAGGATTTTTTTATAATAAAGAGTTTTGATTTAAATTTCATCTCCAATGCTTCTCTTTATCACAATCTTTATCTTTAAAATTGATATAGAGAGTGTCTTTGACTCTCTAATACTGTAGAAGTCTAAATGACTCTTTATCTTAAATTTCATTAATAAAAATTACTTATTTTCTATGCTTACTCAATCTCTTTACCAATAATCTCTCTCGGTTTTATAGATTTTGTCAAAATAAAGAAGTTAAGTAGAGAGTAGCATTAAAGAGGATATTGATATTCAATCTATATAATTAATGATGCTCTTTATTTATATTAAAAATACTAGCTAAAAGTAAAAAGCATTATTGAATATGCTCTAACCCTTTTTTTTTTTTTCTATTTAGTTTTTATTGGTTCGACTTCGGAGCATAGAATAACAGGGGATGCTTCTTGGTAGATTCTTGGTAGATTCCTTGGAGAAAACAGACAAATTCTGATATTTTGACTATTCAAGTCTTGTGTTTGAAAAAGCGAGAAAAGGATATAACCCAACTTGCTTTTCAAAATCTTCTTAAATTTTTTACTAAGAAGGTGATTATCTAGAGAATTAAATATAACGGTGCAAATTATTGAAATTATAATATTTGATAAAAAAGAAATAGGAAGAATACATTACAGAAAGGTTATGAGGTATTGAATTGATGAATTCCACTAATTCAATGAATGGTGCGTATTTTTTAAACTTATTGAAATTCAGATGATAAATTATAGCATCAATCTTACAAGTTATTTTATCTTGCATATAAAGTAAAGCCACTAAACAAATGGTCCCGCGGATGGCTTTTCCACGTCAGTCTCAAATCATTTGTCGCCAGCTTCCGCCCATTTTATTTCCTATATAATATAAAGTCACAAGAACAGTGTAATGATTTGGACAGACATTCCGAAAATTGGACCAAAAATATAGATTTTAACATAGAACACGGAAGCTGTCCAAGATTTATTATGTAGTGGGATCCACCAACTTTTGTATGATCCAATGGGAACATTTCATTCCCACCAAAACATTCATCTCCTTTATGTTGCTTATTTTTTGCTTGCATCGTGTGGATGTGATACGATTGGTTCTGGAATTTAGTCTTTTGGCTGGCAGGTAGAGCCGTTTTATTTGCGCTCACCCGTCTTCAGTGAAGTTAGTAGCTATTTCTTTGTCTTGAATTCGATAGGTCCTGCTTTAACCACGTCCAGTCAGGCTTCTAAGGATTGGTTGTAATCGGCATAATAGTAAGGGTTAAATGTTTAATTATTATTAAAAAAAATAGCAGTAATAGAATTGAAAATAAAAATGATAAAATAATAAATTTATTATCAAATAAAGTGAATATAAGTAACAAGAACTTCAAATTATTCTTTCGGACATTATACACAAACTAATTAACAATTAAGCCTCGCTTATAAGCTTTAATATTAGAAAAAAAAATTAAAAAGGACTATGAACAATTAAAAGTACATAAATTATTAAATCAACTGCATCACTCTTTTAATTTCTCGTATTAAATGGTGAATTGAATCAC